CAATCGACCCTTCACAGACAACTGGATGTCGCGACGGCGCCACAGATGTCATATTAAATTGCGACGACGACTCGGTTGCAACGTTGCTGCCTGAACTGGCTAGCAGTTGCACAAGTCGTTCGGACCACGAGGTTCCTGGTCCTAGCCCTTATCGAATATACCACTAAACGGCCCATCGACTACTTTTCTGTGCTCTCTTTGCACGTGCCGACAAGGCTGGAAGAAGCGGCGCGGCGGTCAGACCATGACATAGGCTAGAGACATGAAGAAGCTGGCTTCCGTTGGTGCAGCCCGCCTTCCAGGTTGGGGCGCAAGGGTTGAAGATTGTCGCTGGTTGGGGACGCTGAGAGATATGGCCCAGCATAGAAGTCAGTGATGCGAATGCTGTACAGTCTGCCTGTCGAAATCCCGTGCCCTGTAAAAAAAAACAACAACAAAGAGCACAAAAAATATCAAAAGGTGTACGATGAGGCACACACAAAAAAACATTTGTTATCCCCGTTACCTACCATTTTCTATTTGATCTGTTCCACCTTCTTCCCACTTTGCTCTGTATCCCAACCCACCTGCTTCATGTTATTGTTATTTTTATTGTGGCGTTGGCATAATGCTTGTCTACCAGCCGGTGTATATATATATATATATATATATATATTCACATACTGCTTATTATGAAATATTCTAAAAGGAATATCACGTCACGTTTGTTGCGGTTAGTAGCATCTAACTCACCTACAAAATATCGAATCATAGCATTGATTCTTCAATGGACTGGCTCTGAAAGAGCTGTCTATCTAAAAGTCACCCAGTGTTGCAAATAAGATTGTTGTGACGAAAATACACTTCCTGGGTACTAGTATGTGAATGAACTAGCAAAGGATTACCGNGAAACCGGTCGTGTGATTCCATGGAAATTGTGTTCAGTCATTCACATATTACTTATTATGAAATACATGTACATATACCCGTTTATGCACCGGAGCACACCCATGATAAGACTCGTGTTTGAGTTGTTTGCGTTCATTCGTTCGAGGCACACCTGCCCGAACACAATTCTCCGAAGTTCCCTGTGTGGTGAGAACAGAGCACTTCAACCGGGGTACGGGGGGATGGGTGAGGGGTGTATTTCCGTACTTATCCATCTACATCAAAACAGAAAGAAGCCAAATCTCGCGAGATGTTAACATTTCGTTTAATCTTCTTAGTCGCTGACTTAAAATAAACAGGCACTTATGCTTAGCACATGGGATTAATCAGTTATGGTGAACGCACGTTTACAAACATACATGCAAAGATTACTAAATTTAGAAGTAAAAGGTCATCTACATGAGGCTTGCGTTCAAAGGTGACCACATTTCCAATGATATGCGCAGTAAGTTGAGGTCAACTCTAGATCGTACATTCCCAGCTGCTCAACTCAGATTCATTGCCTCCACTCGTGGATTTGATTTGGATGAACGTAAATATGACTGGCAGAGCGGTTTCGTCTCACACCGTATACCCGTTCACCTGCAGTTGGGGTGACGCATACGTAGGTAGAACAAACCATCAGCTGTCACAATGGATGGCAGAACATATTCCAAAGTGGTTGGTGAAATCGATGACGCAACCGATAAATGATGGCCAAGTGATTACAGGGAATCCAGGATCGTCTGTTGCAAAACATCTCATGGCAACAAAACACAGTTGACCCTAATTCTTCTTTCAAACCACTATTACGTAATCGCGATGCTAAACGTTTTGTAATTAATAAAGCACTGCTTATTCGATTGTATTACGCGACCTTATGCGCACAGAATTTTCGATACAAACAGTCCACTTACCGTGGAGTTGACCTTTCACTTCTAAATTTATTAATCTTTGTATGCCTGTACACGCTCGTTCATCATAATTGATTAATCCCATGTGCCCTATATGTGTCTGTTTGTTTTAAGTCAGCGACTGAGAAGATTAAATGAAATGTTAACATCTCGCAACATCTGTCTCCTTTCTGTTTTGATGAAATGGATAAAGGGAACTCAATGCTTCAGATACCTATCCGATAGGGTAACCAATTCCGTTACTCGCCCATGGACTGTCATCACTGGCTAAATCAAGCCACAGTCCGGAAGTTTTCTTTCACAGATGTTTTACAGGTCATATATCCCAACTCAGAATGGTTTACCCACAGAGCGAATCACAGCCTGAAGAGAAATTCAGGAGTCTTAGCTAGCTTTTCTTTACAAATATTTGCTGCTGATTCCGATACCTGTCACTAGCGTGGCTAAACATGTTTTCCACTATTGATCTAAATTGCACTTTTTTAATGTTTTTTTTGTGAGATTTCTGTCAAATCTACTTGCGGGTGTGATCACTGTGCAGACTCGTGTCTCTTAAGGTTTGGCTGAGATGTGTCGCTTAAATATCTCCTCTATGTGTACGCGTAATTTTTGTACATGTCTGGTCAACGGAAATCTAAGGATTCAGTCTACAATCATATCGACTGATGGAACTTCTTCCCTGAGCGGAAAGGGGATGGTACAACGCGTTCCCATATAATTACCATCATTTCAAAACTATTTTTTCAACTTTTCACAAGCCACAATCCTAGAACACAGACACTCCTTTCGCAGACCCACCATTTCCATCTTCCTCTGATCTGAAAGCGGATTTCGACTTAGTCGACCGCTCCAAACTCTGCGCTACCTCGCTCTAAAGGGGGTATCCGAGAAGTTTATTTTTATCTTACAATCCCTTCATTCTAAACACCGAAGCCGAGTTCAAGCTTACGGCACTTTTTCACCCGAGTTTGCCACGGAAAGTGGTGTTCGACAGGGTTGCCCTCTTTCTCCGTTTCTATTTAACTTCGTGATGGATTTAATTATTGAAACAGCCCTAGCGGTATCGATTTACTCCCAAATGATCTAGAGTATACTGTTTCCCGCGTTGTTCTATGCTTGGTCCTCGACTTTTTCTGTTCATGAACGATTTACTGAATGTCCTAGAACCGCAAACACTATTGTTTTCAGACGCCCTTAAATTCTGGAAGACTGACAGAAAGTGAGGGTTAGCTGGAGCTCCAAGAAACACTGAATGCAGCTCACAAGTGGTCTGTTGAGAACTACGTTCAATTTAACGTCCCCAAATGCTAGGTGATTTCGCTGCGTCACCATGGTCAGTTTCCTTATTTCCACGAAGACCTGAGTTGTTCTAATAACTTTGCCAGGGCGTCATCAACAGCACTCAAAATGTCGGCCTGCTTCAACGTGTTTTCAGTCGTTTTGAACCATCTTTTTTCTCACGTCTGCAGTCAGCACACATCCGGCCCTATGTTGAGTATGCCATCCAAACTTGGAATCCATGTTTACAACGTCACTGTCCCTTGCGGTTATTTCGACGAAGTACGGTATCTGGGGCAAACTTATTTGTCATAAAGTTGAACTATCATTATCATCTGTTCCATTCCGACTGTATTACTTTCATGCCGCGCTTTTTTTACCTACCCGCCTTCTTATACAGTCATGATGCCGTTGTTATTGTTCGCTTTCGGTCGGTTCTTCATTGATGTTAATCGAGTCTCGATCCCGTACGGGAATATCGCATTACAATTGCTCCAGATCACCACTCCGGCATTACTCGGCCTGGGTTTGCGCGCGTGGAAACCGAAAGTGGCCGAACGTATCAGAAAACTCACACGTCCCCTGTTCATATTCTTCATATTCTTCTTTCTCACATTCGGCGTTTATGCGAATTTGTCCATTTTCTCTCTTCTCTGGTCCTATCCGATTGTGATGCCCACCAGTGCACTGCTCCCGTGGCTAGGTTTCACCCTGGCCGCATTAACCGCGTTCCTGTTACGTCAACCACGGCCAGTGATTATCACCGTAGCCTTAGAGACCGGGATCCAGAATGTGGGCGCCGCGATCCTCGTTCTGCTCTACTCGATGACTCAACCGGCCGGGGATTTGGGTGCCGTGATGCCGATCAGTGTGTCCATTTTCACCCCGATCCCGTTGTATTTCATCCTGCTCGGATTGACCATCAAACGTCGTTGTTGCAGAAAGAAAAAGACCTGTTGCACTGAGTTGGATGAAGTGCAGGCGTTGCGGGACGACGGGGTGGAGATGGATAGGGAGAAATACGCAAAGACGAATGGTCTGTCGCATGTGGCTGTGATCGAACCAATCGTGCCTCCGGTTCTTCCCAGTGGAGATACCACAAATATGTAGCTGCCCTGATGGCGCGTGCGCGCGCCTTCGTGTGCATGAATGTACATAAACTTATACATATATGTCTATCTATATTTCGTACGCAGTCCTACCCTTCACCTTTTTTACATTTCTGACACTATGTCCATACAACGGGCCACGCAGGATAAACCAATGTAACTGGCCCATTCCTCACGCACATAAATGCCTTCGTTTTGAAGGTGATCCCGCTTCACTCACCGCCCCCTCAATCGCCTTCCCTTACTTGTTCGAAGCGTCCGTGCTCAACCATTCAGTAAAACACACTTAAAAATACAAACACACAAAGCTTTGGAATACACGTACCAACTATCCTATCCTTCTCCTGTATTTTGTGGTGAAAACCTCGACCATTACCGGATATGCTTCCCCGTCTTCACGGGATTTTTCTGCGCGTTTTTGTTTCCGAGTTCGAACAGAACGATCTGTTCGTCAAAGCTAGTAGTAGTAGTAGTAGTAGCAGCAGCAGCAGTAATGATTTCCACAGTACATCCCAAATTCTATTTTCAGCACAGATAGAGTTTTAGTTCTGTGAAAAGTTCTGGTGCTCCGTCGTTGAATTCTGCACACAATCCTTTGCCCACTCTTACCAATACGCAACCAACCTCTTGTTTACTTGCTTGCTCGGTTTGTTTACTGTTTTCAGTAGGTTTTTGTTTTTGATACACTCTACTTTACTGTAAATCAATAGATCGAGAGAGGGAAACGCGTCGTGGTATCGTGTATAAATGCTGTTCGCTTTTGTAGAACTGTCCATTCCCCCCTCCCCGTATTTTTCTTGCCAAATGTGTGAAAAGCCAGCAGTCCTCTTACTGTGTCCGGCTATTGTCTATACATGTTCCCGGTTGGCCCTCTCCGCACGAGGGGGCCTTCCTGAACGTTCCTTTTCCCGACTAGTGAGGAATTGCTCATGCCAGTGTAATGCCTACACAGTGGAAAAAATGCAGCTAGTCAACACAACCCGAAAACTGAGTTCCATTATTTCAAGCTAACAAAGGTTCGTACACCCTGACGGGTGACAGTTTACAAACAATTCTCTGGTGAATGAGCAATGCCAAATCGAAATGATGAAGCCAACTTGAAATTCGGACTAAATGGGTTACCATAATGGCTGCGTTGGTGAACAAAACACATGCTGTCATAGAAGGTGGATTTGTGGCCCGGCAGGAATTTGGAATCGGTAGCGAGTGGAACAATGATCGGCATTAGACAAACGTTTGATGAACTAGTCACATGAACCAAAATGCTTTTCAACGGTGAAATCTAAGAGCTCAGTACGAGGTAAACCACCGGCCCTCTCCCTGGACGAGAATTCAAAAGACCGGACAAACTAAGTGATTATGTTTCGAGTCCAGATAAATCTAAGAAGGTCAATAACCAGTCAGAGGTATGATGCAGCAGATCTTGACAAGTTTGCCCAATCGGGTTTTGAGGGGCACTCGAATTTCACAAGTTGAACTTGTGAACTTTTATGCAGATACTTTCATTATGTTTGGACCATGAATGCTTGGGATAACCTAATACATATTTCAGATATTTGCTTTTAGACCATTAGGTCGATCATAAACAGGGAGAAGCCAAACGGGTCGGTAAAAAGAGCCAAATTGGAAGAGCAACGTATGGAGGACGCTTAAAGCGCACTTGACAGACTAAGAGGTGCGGTTTCCACATTCGGTATGTTCTTTGCATCTGCGAAGTACGAAGCGAAGCTGCAGGATTGGGTGCTATCTACTCCCGCTCTGAAACTAAATGACCAGCAATTACGTAAGTATAGTGGATTACTTTCTGTACTCAGATAGTCGCATGACCACTGACTGAAAAGCAGCAAAGGAGATAACCACTCGTCTTGAGCAGCATACATACGTAGGGCCGAAACACCTTTGGCGTAGAAGCGACGTTTCACTGAAGTTGAAAGGTACTGTGTATTGTGCTATCGTTCGTTCAGTCCTATTTTATGGTTGTGAGATCTTGAATTTGTGAATGGAAGATATCCGTCGACTAGAAGTTTTCAACCATCGGTGTTAACGTATTTTAGTACACGTGGGGTGAAGCGGACGGGTTAGAAATGTGAAGGTAAGCCGTCGTGTGTTTGGGAGTCTATCACCGATAAACCTGCGAGCACATCGAATTCAGGTTAGTAGACTTCGCTGGTCCGGACACGTACTGCGTATGCCCGGTTACCGTCTACCACATCGCACCTTATTCGCTGTAGCTGCTCCGGGCTGGAGAAAACCACGTGGAGGCGAGGGATGAAGAAATGCACTGAGCCATTAGGTAGAGTAGGTGTCTTGCACCTTCCAGGTTGGGGTTCGCAACTGGTTGGTTAGAGACATTGAAGGAGATGGCAGCGAACCGACAGTAGTGGCGTTCTTGTCGTCATTTCTTATCAGGTCAGAACGCTTGGAACGGTATATATGCAGAGTTCGATTGTGCACTCTTTGTGTTGACCACAGAGGTTTACCTTCTTCCCTCTGCTTCCAATCCCTGCCCTCTTTAAATTTTACCGCTAAATCTCTATGTATTGTGATTTAGGTAGCGATCAGTGAAGTTCGCTTCACTGTATTTAGCTGTACGATAATTTCGATAAAGGGTACGGACATACTTGGGAACATATCGATGTAGGGAATTGGAAGATCCTGTTGTAACCCAACGGAACGGAACGATAATCTCGTCTCAATTGATGAATTGCTCGGATGAGTACTCATGAGGAAACTATACCTATCTAACCCAGAGTTCGATTTCAGGTCAAACCTAATAGAATGAGGAAGAAGACAGACCTTCCTCTGAGGCCATACATATTGGGTATCCTGAAGGCGACTCTATTCACAAACTTGTCTCTCTATGTGCATTTTTTTTCTGGTCAGCCATTGGTGACTAATTGTCTTGATAGTCCAAAATCTCTTGGAAACGGACCAGTCAAGAATGAAGGGATTGCTGGTTTTGTCAGATTCATTTTATGAACGACAAAAATGAATATTTGAGCTTTATAAAACGAAATGCCAAAGGAGAGAGTAGTCTATTTCAGAAGAAATTGAATTTGCCCTTCAGAGGTTTTATATACAGACAAAAATGAAGGATAGAATCATTCCTGCAATTCTCCAGAGTTGACTAAAGAAGTCCAAGAACATTTGGTACCGTAGGAGGTAAGCACTGTTTGGTTTGCGAAATATTCAAGTGATATATGCATTTAAACAACAG